GTGCTAGCCGCGGAAGTGGTGGGGGACGGCAGGTGACGGGCCAGCCGCACGCCCCCTCTGGGCCTCGAGTGCTGGGGCTGACACTTTCCTGCTCCAAAGACCGGCTGGCCCCTGGAGCAGCAGCAGGTCCTCACGGGCTGGGGCTGTCCGCTGACGACTTGGGAGCGCCCAGAAAGCCCAGCCCGGCGTCACCTGCGGTGTCCGCCTTCTGCTCTGAGGCTCCGGGACAGGCTTCCCTGGACTGGTTCTTGCTCCCAGCACTGGACAGCACCCTCCTGCCCCGCCCCTGCCTGTTCAGGGCGCATTTCTGCTGCCTGTCTTTTCCCCAGGCATCCACTGCCCTGGCGAGAGGGGTGCCCTGAGAGCGCCCACCTGCACCCCGGGGCAGCCAGTTTCCTTCCCGGGGTCTGTAGATGAGGGGGAGCCTTGAGGCAGCACGGTGCCGTGTTCGGGGCCCACTGCACATGGCCAGGCGACGTGGCCCGTTTGGAATCGAGCCCCCCGTTCCCAGGCAGCTCCCCGGTGCGGTGGGCCCGTGCCCAGCCGCCCGCTCCCGCCCCTGGGCCTGGTTTGCTTTCCCGCTGCCCGGCCCCGCTGGGCCTCCGAGCAGCCCCTGTACGAGGCCGCCTTAAAACCAGGTAATGAAGTGTATGCTGCCTGTGGCCTCTCAAATTCTAGCTCTCAAAATGGTGCTTCAGCGGTGAGGAAGTGCGTGAAAGAACGTGTGAGCGCAGTCAGGGACGGCGTGTCCTCGACACGCGAGAGGATTTTCTTCCAAAGCCGCAGCCCCTCGCCCGCCGGGTCCCTGCGGGGGCCGCCGGCCCCAGCCGATGTGCGCGGTCGCAGGCGAGCACTTCCTAAGAGAAATAGGAAGTATTAATGTTTTTTAAGTGATTTCATGTTGATAAAATATTTAGAATACGTTGGATGAAGAGAGATCTAAAGGTCAGTTCCAGCCTGTGCGCGCCGGACAGTGTCCGGTGCCCCACCACACATGGGTCTGGCTTTCTGTATTTGCACATCCAGAACTGGGGCGCAGGCCAGAGGCTCAGGGGCGGCGACAGGACTCCCCAGAGACAGAGCGGGGAGCAGAACGGGCAGATGGACGAAGCACACTGCTGAGGGGGCGGGCGGGAGAGGTCTGGCGCGCCCTGGGGTCACTCCCTGGCCGGGGCTCCAGCTCGCGCTGCGGCGGCCGCGGCGTCTTCGCCGTGCTGCGTCCTCACCTGCTGCGTCCTCACCTGCTGCGCCAGCGGGGAGGGCCCCGGCTCTGGCTTCTAAACAGTTGCACTTGCGCAAGCCGTCCACTTGGCTTGCCCCCTTACAGGTCAGGCCCAGAGGTCAGCCCCTTGATTCTGTGTGCCAGACTTAGCTTACTCAGCAAATCCCACAGAACACTATTCCTGAAGCAGAATTTGCCGTCTCTCCTGCTTGGGCGGTGGAAACATTCGGAGTGCTTCTACCCGAGAGCTGAACTCAGTGCAGCTGGAGCGGTCAGGGGTCAGAGCCAGGGCACGGGCCAGGCGTGGGCAGTCAGGGCGTGCGGCGGGGTGCA